CCGCTGGCGTATCTACCATTCGCGGTGGTTCCAGCGCCGGTCGTGGTCCCAAGACCAGCGACCACGGGACCACTGGTCCCGGTCCTCGTCGTCACGGCGGGACCTCTGGTCCTTGCCTTTGCCTTTGCCCTTGCCGTCTCTGCGGCGGGCTTCCCGTTCGCGGTGCTCGCGCTCACGGGCTTCGGCTGCCTCGCGCTGCAAGGTCAGCCGAAGGGACTCGGGCGGCCCCCTAGTAGGGCGGCGCTCGCCCCTGTACTCGAGCTTGCCGTCTGTCCGCGGGACAGTGCCTGGGCAAGAGTAGTTTTTCGCGCAGCGTGTGCAATGCATCACGCCGCATTCTGGACACTGCCAGGCCTTGCTGCGACGTTCGTGGGAAAACTGTCCCACAGCGCCACTGGCGCTGGGCTGATCATAGGCATGCACTGCAGCCACGAAGGGGTGGAGCTCTCCGCATGCACTGCACACGAATTCCGACGACGGATCGCTCCAGATGTTCATCTGCATGTTGTCGCAGACTGAACATGCGAAGACTCGCTGTATCTCCCCCGCTCGGGGACGCTCCGCCGCTGGCGGGCGAGCTTCCTGATCGTCTCGATCAGTGTTGTCGTCTGTTGCCGGGCCGCTGGCCCGGGTCCCAGCGACGCCAGCGGGGTTGTTGCGCGGGGGCTGCTGGCAGGGACGCGGGCGAGAGCTCTCCCCACGACGCGCCACTGGCGGTGGGGGAGGCCGCTTGTTTTGGCGTGGGGCGGCGGCCTTCGCGGGCGCCGCTGGCGCCTGATTCCTGTCGGCTGCCGGCACTGCCGGACTGGAGGACTTGCGTGCCACCTTGCCCTCAAGGGGAGGGTGTGGCTGCGCTGGCGGTGGCGGGGAGTCGCTCTCCGACTCCGACTCTTCCGAGCGGGAGCCTTGGTCATCTTCGGTTTCTTCCCGCCGCCCGCTGGGCTCCTCCACATCCATATCCTCCGGCGCTGCCGAGGGAGCTTCCGCTGGAAGCGGTTCTTCTTTGATGCCCGAGCCCGCTTCCTCAGCGGGGCTGGCCGGCGCTGCGGCCGTCGTAGGAGGCAGGCTTGCCACCGCGCTGCGGTGGCCGTCGGAGGAAACACCACGGGCCGCCACTGGCGGCTCGGTGTTAGCCGGCACCACTGGGGGCTCGTAGCCGAGCAGAAATCGCTGAAGCGCGACTGCATTGGCCTCGGTGCCGCCACTGGCGGGCTTGGTCCAGCCAGCGAGTTCCGCTGCCTCTGCCGCATTCACCACCACGTCCCCTATCTCTGATAGGGAGACGGCGGCCTCGTAGATGGCGGCCCTCTGGGCCTCCGGCACTGCGCTGAGCGCCTGCAGCATCTGCTCGTTTGTCGGGTTTGCCATCGCTGATGGCAGACAGAGGCTTCCGCTGAAAGCGGGGTTGCTGTAGGCACGGGGGGGGCGACTTACTAAGCTGAAAAAGGCTGCGGAAGAGAAGCACTGCTTGAAAACCGACACGGTTTAAAAAGCTGACTCAGCTGAGGAGACCTACCAGGCTCGCGTGACACACGACTGAGAAAGACTAGCGGCGATCTTTTGCCGCCCTTCAAAGCATGCCGTCGGCCCGCCGCTGTGGGCGAGGTTCCAAAAACCTCGGAGACGCCCGCCCTGCAGGGGCTGCCGAGCTGTCGGCGGTGAACCAAAAAGAGGTGCACTGCACCAAAAAGGGGGGGCGACTCGCTGAGAAGCCAGCAGCTACGCGCTGCACTCAAAGCCTAACGGCGGCCGCCCCTGACGCCGCGGTTTCGGGGTCGCTGACCCCGACTGCTGCGGTAGCAGTTGTCGCATTCGTGATGATTGTGGGGGCTCCTGCCCACTGAGCAGCGCCGCCCACAAATCGCCATACCCTGGGAGATGCAGCCCTGCTGCGCGCAGGGCATGCAACACATGAGGTCGCCTCGCCTCTCCGGGTACCTCTCCCATCTCTCTGAGTTGGGGGCTGCCCAATAGGGCCACTCATGCACGTCTGTGACGTGCAACTGTGGAGAGACTCTCCTAGCGTGCGTAACTAACGCACGAAGGCCGGGGTACCTGTTGTCGGTCGCTGACCCGAGGTTACGCCAATCGTTATTTTGGGGGTCCTCCCCAGGCTGGAACTGCCAGCCTCGCTGGCGATTGCGACGCTGCGGTCTGGAAACGACCACAGTGTTCGCGTTGGGCGCGAACGGCACTGCCGTTGCGGCCTGGCTGCTAGCCAGGGATACCTCGGAATCTCCCGAGTTCTGATCACTGTCAGTGTCGATAACTTCAATGGCAGGCTCCGCCTCTGGCGGAGCGACGTCGGCAGCTTCGGCTGCGGGCGGGCTGCCTGTTGTGGCCGAAGCGGGCTTAGCAGGAGCGGCCGCTGGCGGCGGTAAGGGAGGGTCCGAGGCTGATGCCGACGCTGTCGGCAGAGCGGTGCTGGACGAGGCGGTGGGGTCAGTGCTGCCGCTGGCAGCTTTGTGAGTCTTCTTCTTTTTCTTCTCCGAAGGGAGAATCTTGACCCAACCACCCTTGCCTTTGCCCTTACCCTCTGGGTGCCAATGGAAGCCGCTGGCTTCCACCTTAGTGGCCACGTGGCCCTCTAGGGCGTCCACCCAATTAAGTCTCCACTGGAGTTTGGGGACATTATGGGGGCCAGTCAAAAAGGCCGGTATACGGCCAGCCAGGCGTGGCCGCTGGCCGCATAGGCACGTCGCGCTGCGACATCGTATACCGGTGCATCGGGTAGGCGCTGCCTGAGGTGTCCGGTTGTTCCCCTTGCATCTGCGCAAAAGGGTAAAAGGGAGGCCAAACTTTGGACTCCCCTTCCCCTGCTCGATTCAGGGATTCGTGGTCGTCGCTGACGACCGCGGGGTCTACCCGCATGGCACAGCTAATGGCCCAGAGGAGATAACTTATCTCCTGTTGTGCCATTTCTTCACGCATGGCCTGCTCAAGCACGAAAATTGGATTGCACTGCAAAAAACGGAGGCAGGAGCGACACTGTCGCACGCGTTGCAGGCATTGTGGCGCTGCCAACTGATTTTCTCGACCGTCCCTTCTAGGGTACGGCGCCTCTGGCGACTCAGCCGCGTAATTGCGGGCTGCTTGGTCTACCATAACTGCCACTGACAGTTATATAAAGGGGAGTGGAAGGACGTCGCTGACGACCCCCACTGCTGCGGAGCACTACAAGCTACTCTACAAAAACTTTTTGGATCACAGATCCAACTCCAAGCCGAAAGCTGCACGGCAAAGTTTGTCTAGTGTCACTCACACACAAGTGAAAACACTGTTTTCCTTTTTCGACAAACTTTGTCTACACTTTCGGCGGAAAATAAAACCCATTCACGCACGCATGATGGATGCCAACCACAATCCAGTTGGAAGTTTGGCGCAGGAGGGGCTTCAAACGTGCGAGGACTTCCGGGTTGGGCGCCCCAGTGATGCCAACACCTGATTTCAGGTACAGGTTGACCAAAAGGAGGGAATGGCGGACCCTGGGGAGTTCGACCAGCAAAAAGCCGATCCCTTCGTCAGAGAGGTACCCTCCTCTGAAACGGCCCTGTTGATGGATGGGCACAAGTGTGGCTAGTCCCCCTTTCGTGGGTCTGGGGCCCTCAACAGGGGGGAGGAAAGTATGGTACCCTCTGGCTAAAGCCTCAATGCGCAGTTTTTTGGCACCTTCATCTCCCAAGTGCAGCCCTTTTTGCGGCTGGTGCCATTTGAGGATATCCGAAGTCCACGCTGTGATGTTGGCACTAACAAACACAACGGACTCCTGGCACCGCTGGTGCTCCTGGGCAGCAAGGTCGTCCAGGAAAGCCGCGGCGGTGATGGGGTCCAACCATGAGTGGCCTTGCATGGCCTCAAGAATCTCGTAGGAGACCCGGTAGCCCAAGCTGGCCTCGTCAGTTCCTTCCAGGGCCTCAGCTAGGGCCAGCGCCTGGGGTTCCGCCTTGCTCCAGTGTTTGTTCGCCCTGAGATCATCCGCAAGCCCTGCAGCAAGGGTTTGAACTGAATTTGCCTCAGGCTTGAGGCTTGGGAGGGGCTTGCCCACATTCCCCCGGGCTAGGCCATCGCTTCCTGGGAGACCGAATGGGGGGAGTAGGGGGCCACCGCCCTGGGCCACAGGGGGGGGAAGGAGGCGAGGTGGAGTCCTGTTCCTTCGGTCTGGCACTCGGGACCTGAAGGCCAGGAGTGCCAGAAAAGAGAGTTGGCCTGTCGCTGCATCCTAGCCCGGTGGGCAGCGCGATGTTTTCGAGTGGACTCCCAGAGGAAGTCATGCTGCGCTTTACGCCGCCGACGTGGGCCGTGAGCCGTGCTGTGAACCCCGCGCGACGGGCTGATGTCCAGAGCCTTGGCCAAGCATAGCACAGGCCTGGAGGGGGGAATGGGTGGGGTCAACCCCGAACCCGTGGATGCCTCGATGCCCCTTGGCGGCACCTCCAAGGTACCACTTGGGGCGGGAGGCTCCTGCTCAGGGTCCAGGGCCCAACCAGTTGGAAAAAATTTTGGCCCAGAGAGCCTGGGGAAATTCTGGGCGCTCTGGTTGTCCGAACACGTTGGCGTGAGGACACCCGGCGGCGCCAGGGTTGAAGAAAAGGGGCTGGTTGACTCACGACCCCTAATCAAAAGGCCGTTCCCAGGCCTCGAGGGAAGAGGCTGAACGGGCGCCATGAAGCCTCGGACAGGCGCTGACTCCCAACGCAGCGCCGCCGGGGTTTTATGAAAGATTTTGCACTGCGCGCAGAACAAGTGAGTGCTGCCTAGATCGTGCAGATCAAATGCAAAACTTGCAAAAAACTCTACTCTTGTGTGACCCCTGGCCAAGGTAGGGTGGCTGACCACTCCCCCTCGGTAAGAGAGCAAGTTGATTGTTGGAAAAGGCCTGCAAAACCTCCATGACGAGCGGAGAAGGGCCTGATTGGGCGGCTGCCCTTGCAAAACCTGCTGGGGGCCCGTGGCCCAGAAAGGGCCAGAGGGAAGGCAGGGTTCCCCTGGCCAAGGCGCCCCTATTCAGGGTTGTCGCTGCCTGCGGCTCCCTCTGGCTTCGTCCCTTCCAAAGGTGTGGGACGCTTCCCATGCGGGTCGGTGCGGGCAGGGCCGTACATGGGGGGCATCTCCCGAGGGAAGTACTCATCATGCCCTCGGAAATTCACAATGAAAGGGTCCGGAGGGAGGTCCTCCTTTCCGACCAGGGCAGCCTTCATCTTGGCCCGGGTGGCCTCATTGAGCTCATGGCCGGCCTCCGAGAGGACCGCCTCCAGAGCGCTGAAAGCGGTGCTGGTGGAGTCCGCCGTCATCTCTTTGAAAGCCTTGGCCGTCTCCTGGATCTCGACATCCTTGGCCTTGATGTCCTTATCAACCTGGTCCACGTCCCCAATAAGCTTTTCCAGTTCCTGCTTGAGCTTGTCCGCTCGAGCCTGGAGCTTGGCCTTCTTCTCGACCAGATTCTTCATTGGTGGCCTTCTTGAAGTCGCTGACACACCTTGTCAGCTTCTCCTGGGGCGTGGGTTCTGGCTGGTCGAGGTCCTCATCTGGCGGAGGGGGGATTCCCGCGGCCTCCAACAGGGTCTGGACGTGGAGCCCTGCCCCGGCGTAAACCACGGCCCTGGCAGCGTTGTACTCCTTCTCAGTCATCCTGCCCTTAAGAAGGGACTGAAGGTCCAGTCCTGGCGGGGGGGGCGGTGGCCCTTTCGGCCGAGGTGGGCTGTACCCGACCTCCTGGAAGGCTTTCTGTGCAGCCTCGGGAAGGTCTTTCCAAAGACCCGCAAGTACCGCGCCGACTTTGCCACCTGGAGGGTTCTTGGAACCCTTGCCTTCTCCTTTACCCTTGCCTTTGGTGCGACCGTCCTCCCAGACAGCTCGGGGGCTCTGGGATTGCTCGGCACGGGCTTCCTTGCTTGCTTGCTGCTTGTTCAGCTGCTTCTGCCAGTTTCTGCCGCAGTACGCACAGTGGGTATTTTCCCCTGACTCGACCTGGCGTTTCCAGGCCCAGTGGTACCCACAGGCGCACGGGATCCACTTGGGAGTGCGCGGCATGGCTGCGAGCTGGTGTGGAAACCACTACCAAAAGTAGTGGCTGTAGAAAGCAAGCAAGGAGTGGTGCCCACTTCCAAGCTCTAGAAGTGCACTCGGCAAGAGGAGGATCGACCTCACTCAGAAAGTGCAGTGAACAGCCTACCGGGCCGCCCACCAAACCCTTGCCTGCTGCCAGGCCTACGACCTTTACCAGGTTGGGTTTGGGGACTCTTCGAAGCCTCTAGACAAAGTGGGTCCCAAGGCTAAAAGGCCACGACGGCACTGCAACGTCTGAGCCGAAAACTTGAGCCAGGAGCAAACTTTTCTTCCCGTGCGGACAGCAGATGCCGCGGCCGATGACCGCCTTTCGTTAACGAACCTAGAAACTGTACAGATCAAACAGCACAACACTCTACACTACGCACATCCGCATCGCAAGCGGGGACTGCACCACTACGGGAGTCCCACCAGCTCTCCCGAAGGAAAGAAGGTGGGACTGTGGCACACAAGAGCGTAAGAGCAGCGCTGGACCATGCACCAAAGCTCAGAGGTGACCAGCATGGGCAGCCAGGGAGCACAGCAAGCCTGGCAGGCTAAACAAGGCCACCAAAACAGGCAAACAAGCCTGTTGCACGCATGAGCTAGCTGGACCACGAAACAGGCGGGTGGGAGCCGACAAATTCAACGGGCATGCACGGCAAGCCACCTCGCAATTTCAATCCTTACAAGGACGTCAGCACCAGTGTGACACGTGACTGGTGTGCAAGAGGTCAAGGAGCCCTGCATACGAGCAGAGCTGTGCAGCTTGAGGCCCTGGTGTTGCCAGAATGGCAACTTCTGCAAGAGAGTTCGCCGAAAACCAGCAGCAGCAGCCTTTGTACACTTTCTACACCTAACAAACTACCGCCGACTGTACACAGCGCCAACAAGTGATCGCATGAACACGCCAAGTGCCCACGCCATCACCTGTGAGTTTCCAGCGTAGTTTTTGACAAGTTTCGAACCAGAAAACCAGAACCGTGCCCAGCACAGGTAGCAGCTGAAGGCAGTGAGGAGACCTTAGGAAGAAGTGCACATATTCATCAAACCACCGGGTGATACCCGACTGCTGCTCACCATGGGAGCGCATGCAAGGACAGTGCCAGCACAGGCAGCAGCTGCAGTGGCCAAGGCCACATACACGTGACCACGTAACAAGAGTTACACTTACACCTAATTTTATTGCAAACCAAGCGCCTAGCAGGCTCAAGTGGAAGGCAGCGCTAAATGCAGCCAGCAAGGCGCAAAAGCGGCACATCTCAACCACGATGCTCACGTAAAGGACAACTTGGCTTGTTTTGGCGTAGGTTTGGATTTGCCTGAGCTTTTGGGCTTCGCCACCATGATGTGGCCTGATGTTATCCAACGGCCATTACAAAACATCACAGTTGTTCTGTTGCTAAGGCCCGAAGTCGGGTAATGCATATTCATCAACCAGGCAAGGAAGCATGCAATCACAACCCAACAACCGGCGGGACTAGCCTAAAACCCTTAACCCTACGGCATTACAGGCGGGTGCAGCCAACAGCGCACACCGAGCATGTGACCTGTAGGGCAGCAATTTAACATGCGGAAAGGTAGCCTACATCAGATGAAAGCCACGGCGAGCGGTGTTGCAGCCAACAGCCGCATGACCACCGTGGACCGCCAACGACACGGGTGCATCCAGCAAGCGCACTCCAGCTTCCACCAAGACATGTTTGAGGTTGCTTTTTTTTTTTTGGAAACCCTAGCCCAACCCTCGAAACAGCCCGAGAAAGAAGCTCACCGAAACGACAAACGGGTCTGTTTGGATGTGTCCTTAGACTTGGCTTTGGGCTTGCACTTAGGTTTGGGCTTAGGTTGGGCAGAGCAAGGGGAAACAGAACTGCCACCGCCTTGCTGCACAACCTCCGCAGGGATTGACTCTTTGGCCTCAAAGGATTCCTCAATGGACCGGCTCGTATCAGCTTCAACCTGGGCCATGGAACGCACTCTCTTTTGGGCGTTAAGTTTACGCCCGAGCCCTTTGCAAGTGGACTTCAAGACCGACGACGACGAGGTGGCACCAAGTTTAACCATGGCAAGACACTTGGAGCACATAAAGAAAGAACCCTTATTAAACATGTCATGACTGCCATGTATGCCCCAGCAGGCGGGAACCGGGGCAGCTCTGTCGCGACAAGGATTGGACATTTTGCGATCAAAAACCTCGGGAGGGTTACACTGCTCCACATAAAGCTGGCAAACGGTGCACTGGATCGCAAAATTGTTGCTGGCTTTGGCCTCACAATCCTTCCAAACATGACCCAGCCCAGGGTCCGGGTTGGCGAGAGCCTCCTTAAGGCGTTGTTTTTTGTTGGGTTTGGGCTGACTGCTGGGCTTGGACCCGCCTTTGGGCTTATCAAACTTGCCCTGGGAAACGATCGAGGGCTTAGCATCCTGGGGCGAAGGCAGGGAGTTGAGGCACCTATCAAAAACCCAAGGGAAACCCTTATCTTTTTTGTGCTTGAGGACAAAGCCAATTTTCTTAGCCAGGTGCAGGCAAATTTCTTCACAGAGCCCATCCAGAACAGGAAGATTCGGCTTAGTCGCTGAATGGAACACTTGCGCAGCCCTTTTGCCACATAAAGAATCAACATCCTCGTTCAGCAAACGCCGCCATTCAGGGATGCCTTTATCGGCATAATAGGAAGAGTCTTTATGACTGGGCACCCAAGTGATATTAGCCCTTGACCTGTCACCCCAAATTTCACCCCAAGGGACCGGGCCTTCAAGGGGCGGCATGCTTTTCCGTAGAATGTGTGTGATGGCCTGACAGTCCACCGTCAAGTCGAAAGCACCGGAGACACGACCAAAGAGCTCAAAGGCAGCCTGTTGCTCCGCACTGGCCACCGACAGGGGCTCTTCAGGAAAACACGTGATGCTAGCAACACGCTTCGGCCCGTCCGGTGAAAGCTCATACGCCGCAATGGCCCAAGCAACACATGCCGCGCGGTGGTCACGGGCACCTGGTCCACCCGACGCATCTGAAGCAAAAACAAGATTATCACTATTAAGGACCCGTCGGCTGCTCCACAAACCCTCGCAAACCAAACCCCTCTGCTTATCCGTACCTCCCAGTGACGTGGCACGCTGTGGCAACAAACCGCGCAACCAAAGACATGGCCAAGGGAAACTGCGGCGGGAGGCCGGGAAATGCGGTGGTTCAGGATACTTGGAAACAAGAAAAGGGCAGTCCCACAGAACATGCTGTAAGCTGAGAGGACAGGCACACAGTTTGCAGTACCCGGGCTTATTCTGACCTAAAAGTGCTCCTTGCCAAAGGGCTTGCAAACTAGTCGCCATACTCTTATTGAAGAATTTGCGCTTAAGCAAGCGGTGAGGGACCTTCAAGTCGACTCCAGAGTCTAAGGATTCACAGGCTTCCAGCTGAGACACACGAAGCAACCTAGCGGCCTCCCACTTAGGCAAAAGCCAATGCCACACCCGTCGGGTGGCGTCAAGACTGGCCCAATCAATGATAAGGAGACACTCGCCGCACGTCCAACGGTGGGACTGGGGCGCTTGCACACCTAAATCCATCAAGTATGCCAAAGTGGCCGCCAAGGGCCCATTGACGCGCTTCCAAGGTTGGGGCGACTCTGAAAGCCAAGCCCAGATGTTGGCCCAAGTCGATCTGAATTTCTCCGGGTCCGAGATATGCCAACGACGGAAAACCCTGGCAACCGCTCGAAAATGCTGCTTCAAAATTGTGAGGTGCGGGTCCTCACACTTGTGACGCAACAAAAGGAAAGAGACATCAAGCGAGCCTAACTTTTGGCGGCCGATGGCCTTTGCACAAAGAGTCCTGTACCACTTGCGCCGCTTAGGACTGACACCTGCAGCCTGATGCCCCCAAAGACCTGCAGAGCATATGGAGGCCCGGGTAATGCGCACCTTATGTGAAAAGTTGGCAAGGCCCAACTTGCGCAGTTTAGACGCCCTGCCACTGGCCTTAGCTCGCCTCATCTCAGCTAAACCCAAAACCCTGCGGCGTGCACCCCCCGATGTGACACCTAAGTCCCTGGCAAAGGTGCGGACTTCAGGGTCTGTGTCAACTCTAACAGCCTGCAAGCATTTAGCCGCTTTAGAGGACGATGCAACAAATGAAGTCTTATCCAAGGACAACTTGGCACCATTTGCCTCGATGCTGGTACGCAGGCTTCGAAACAGCAGCACAGCGTCTGAGGCAATCTGCTTGGCCGAGGCACCGACACAGTCAAGGGACAGATCATCTATCCATACGTCCAAATTGGATGTCGCACGCTTGGAAGTGGCCGCAACTGCAATGGGGTGCACAACAAGTTTGCTGATAGAAGGGGCGGCCGGGCACCCAGCCAGGACCCCCTTCGTGGGAATAATGGCCGGGCACAAAGACCCTTCAGATTGAAGAAAACGCGGGCCCATGTACGTAAGAAGGGCCTGGTGCAATACCAGGGGAGGGTACCCCAAAGAAAGGCCAGAAGAAATGACATCGTTAAAACGGCATCTATCATAGAAAGTCTCCATGTCAATGAAAATTGTAACTAAGTGCTGACCGGACTGTCTAGCAGCCTCGCCTCTAAGTAAGCGTCCCAAAGCGACGTCCAGCACTTGACTTCCAGGCATTGCCTTATCCCAGACCGCGGCTTTACAGTACTGGAATTGCCAATCAGAGACCAATTTCCACCTCATGCGCACCCAAGTGCGGTAAAGCACGTGCAATAGAGCAATTGGTCTCTCCCGCTTCTCGCTTTTTGGGAGGAGGGCAATAAGTGCAAACACCATCTGGGCAGGCCAAGTGGCCTCAGTTTCACAGTGGTGAAGAAATGAAATGATGGATGCAACAGCCGGTCGCTGCAAGTTTTTTAACACCTCAAAAGTCCACCCGTCTATACCTGGTGCTTTGCTGGGCACTCGCTTGAACGCCGCAACCGCCTGATCTAGGGGAATTGGCCCAAGCTCCTTGGCCTGCATTCGGGCACGTTGCCTGAGATCACTGAGGAGCGCCGGGTCGACCCCACCCGGCGCGGACCAAAGCTCAAACCACTGCCTCCACCTAAGATAGATGCGATCCTGCACAGGCTGGTGCAAGAAAGGGCGCAGCTGGACAGCTTCCTCCGCTTTAACACTGGTAAAAAGGCCACGCAAGCCTTTACAAGAAGCCTGCTTTAGCCACTTACCGTAGCTTGCGCTCTGCTTCTGCATCCACAATTTGGAATGGTGACGAAATTGTTGCTCCGATACCTGAATCAACTCTGGAAAAGCCGAAGGCGCAACACCTTTAAGAACAGCATCGAGCTGGACTTGGAAAACACTGAGCTCGGCTGTGGATCCGTGCCACATCGATTCAAGCTGCGACCAAAATTTGTGGCCAAAGGGTGCAGGACAACTTCGCTTCGCCGAAAGTTCCAGCCAAACAAGGACCCGCTTCCAGAAAGAGGCCTGAGCCCCCCCCAAGCACCAACAGGTGAGGTATGGCGCAAGAGTTTGTCACGGCGAAATTTGGGCAGGCAGCCTCGACCTTGAGTGCAGCCATAGACCGATAACTCAACAGAGCTACTGAGCTTCTCAAAGGTATGTGTGAGGGCCGGCTCAGGTATGGAGCCACCCCAGTGCCAGGCACAGGCAGACTCCAGATCAGGCGGAGGGCCAGAGCAACCTGCAAAAGGAGGCTCAAAGGGTTGCGGCCTAATGGGCATCGGCTTGAAACCCACAAGCTGTGGAAACCTCAACTCACACTGCCTCCTGTCAATGCACCAGTGCAAAGCAGCATGTGGAGCAAACGGAGTGATCCAGTCAGCCCGGACCGAAACTCCCAAGGCCAGCCCTTTGGAACTAAACCAAAATCAATGTTACCACCCCCGTTGCACGTGGAAGCCCCCGTATGGACCCATTGGCCCCGAGCTTCCTGCGCCAAACTGGTGGTCACCAGAACACTGATGTCTTCATTGAAATCGCCTGCAACAAGGAATTCACCTTGCAGCGACCTAAGGAAGGGAATCAAATTGGAAAGAATTATGGCATTAGTCGGGCCCCGGAAACCCTCCCCTGTCTTCAAGTACACATTGACGAGGAAGATATCAACACCCCGGATGCGCAGAACCACAGACTGAAAACCAACACCTTGGTGAAGAAAGTGGTGGCTTTTACGGACATCAAGGTGCTTCTTAAACACAATCGCAAGGCCTCCTGAGTTGCCACCTCCCCCAGTGGGGTGTCCTGGCAAGCTGAAGGCCTGATAGCCAAAGGCCCCAACATGAGTGGCCAGCAAATCCCCTTGCTCCTCCTTAATGTGTGTTTCCTGCACCAGCCAGAGGTCTGGACTGATCCCCGCAAGAAAGGTTGCTAAGGACTTGCGCCACGTAGTGACATTGGAGCTGACTAACAGCAAATTCTTTCCTTCGGCATTGGAGTTAAGATTTGCGATGACATCCCTGATAGCCGAGGCTGCAACGTGCCAAGGTACATCATCACCGGCTTCAACAGCAAGCTCAGCAGCAAACCAGGGAAAGGTATCTTCAAGAATATATTGGCCCGCCTCTAGGGCCTCCACAGCTTGAAGCACTTGCACATGACACATATGCTCCAACCCTTGCAGCAAGCTGGCCCAAAGGGCCGAAACCCCTGGATCACCAGACTGAGCGAGAGCACTGCCCGACCAAGTTGAATGCACAAGCACCTGGTCAGCCTGAGTGCAACCTGCAGGGCGCACAGCAACGCCTGGATGGGACATCGCATGCCTTTGGTCACCAGCCTCAGGGCATGCTGGAACCGGATCGTCATGAAAGTTCGGGCCACACCCGGAATTCTCAGACAACGGAATGTATTGCTCCCTCCAGGGTCCTCGGCCAGCGGCCACACCTCCTCCTGCGGGCCAATCCTCCGCCTGTGTGATATACCCACCTCCTGGACCCTGGAGGGAAACGCTATTAAGGGAAGCAATCCCAAAAGTCCGACCCCCAGGACCCTCGCCCAGCGGGCACACGTCCTCCTGAAAGAAACCACCACCACTATAGTCACAACCACCCTCCTCCTGGGCCCTGGGGGCCCTCATGGCATCAAGATTGGCAGCCGCGCAACCCAAAAGATGCTGGTCCTGATCCGGACGCCCGTGCAATTCACCAGAGATGCCGCAATGCCCAGGAGTATCATCCCAGCAATCAAAATTGGGGCTAGGGTCGCAAGACTGGGAACCACACGGGGTAGGGAACGGAAATGAAAAATCATGGCCAGCCTGCGACCTGTATCCGTCAACTTCAACAACTTCTGCATGGACTGAAGCCACTGCACAAGGTTCAAGCACATCACCACCGTGAGAAATCGGACCTGAAAAAGGCCCTGAACCCTCTAGAACGTGTCGCAATCGGCGGTTGAGGCGCCGGCGGGCCCGTCTGGATACAGGGGCTTTCCGATTCGTGGAAGGCCCATACGAGAGTGCTCTGATACATGTAGGCCACACAGTTGCGAGCTCCTGCGAACCAGACACCTCGCCCTGTTCATCACACTCCTGAGCAGCACTGGCAGGAAAGAAACGTGGTCCTGACAAGCAATCGGATATGTGAGGCTGGCCCTCGGTGCTGGTGGAGCGGTCCGCCCAGCGGCACAAACACCCTGGGCAGTAGCAGAGTACATCACTGACAGCCGTGGCAAGGTCCTCACATGAACGGTGTAACATGACCTGGCTGCAGGCTGAAAGAAAACTCCTAATCCAAGGAAAATCCTGCTGACCAAGCACTGCATTCTGGCCACAACTCAAACAAGGAGGCAACCCTTGCACAAGCTCTTCAAGCTCCGATGCATCTCCACTCGCAAAGGGCAAATTGGGGTTAAGGAAAACTCCCGAAGGCGCACACGGGTTCGGGATAGAAATGGGCCTGGACTCAAGGGTGCCTTCATGCCTCCGGGCGGAAGCACAAGCGCTCCAGCACAGTGGCAAAGTGGACGGCCTGTGGCGGAAGACCCTGGCCGGCACTCTGTAATCAAGGATCCTGGGCACAGGTTGGCCTGAAAGCGCACAAGATTCAAGAAAAAAGCCCCGGCGACAATGAAAACTCTCACTCTGACTCGGCATGCAGTGCTGGCACAAAGCTGACTCGGGAGGCCTAGGGGCAAAGGGGGGCACTGACAGAGGCGTATGGCAGCATGCACAACACCAGTCCTGACATGCAAGCTGCATCGCCCCTTCTTTCAAGCCCGAATATCGAACCGAAGACCTAGCAACCCAACCTTGCGCCAACGAAGGCTCTGCCGAGAATGAGTGCGCGGCAAAATGAGGAGCAGCACAGCTTCTAGCCGACGCCACGTGAGCGCGACCAGCACAGCTTGATGCAGATTCGGCCTGGGCACACAGATTACACAAGTCATCACGGCTGCCCTCGGCACTGGAACTCACAGTTCGTGAGAAGGCAAGCGGGGCAGCACAGCTCAAACAATGGCTGACGAAGAAAAGGTTATACGCCTGTGGTGCCGAAAATGCCACCAAATCTCGCGGAAAAGACTGGTTACTCTCCTGTGTCAGCATGCCAAACTGAACGGGCTTGCCCGATGTGGCACACGGCCTGGCACTCTGAGGGCTGGGCACGCTAGCTGCATGATGAATCAAGGCCGTTGTCGGTTCACACTGGTTAAAAAAGAGCTCACCACACAGAGCAACGGTTTCATCCGCGCGCTTCACTGGAGTGGGCACCGGGCAGGTTCGGGAAAACGGGGCGGAGGGAACCCTCTGGTCGTGAAAAGGCACTTGTTTGGCACGGCTTCTACCTGAAAACAAAAAGCACTCTTAAGAAACAAAAGGCCGCCCCCTACCCCTCTCCCCGATCCCTAACCCTGCTGTGTACTTCGACCCCTGCTGCGGGACCGTGGCTTGTCTCCTTCAGTTGCTGCTGGCTGGTGCACTTCCGGCCCAGCAGGAAAAGGGCTTGGCGGCGCTGCCTTCTGCGCCGGTGCATCCACGCGCCTGCGCTTTACAGCTTCATCAATGGCTTCAACAAGGCGCTGCCGGTAGTCGTCAAGCTGATCAACATCCATGGCCTCAACCTGCTTGGCAAGAGCCTCTGCTGCCTCAGGCAAGGCCTCGGGGGCCGGGACCCCAGCAACCGAGGATTGCAATTCCCCTTGCAAGGAGGCCACCAGCTTTTGTCGCTCCTCCAAGGATTCATTGATGGACTTCATGTCTGACAACATGTTGGAGTACAGCTCTTTATGCTTATCCAGCCGCACTTGCAAGGCAGCTTTTCGGAAAATAAAGTCCCGCAATTCGGCAGTGGCAATTTTAAATTTCTTGCTTGTTTCGCTCATGACCTCCTGAGGCGTGGGTGGTCGCTCAGGAGGGTCTTCCAGCAACTTCTGGATGTCAGCTGGCAAGGAACGGATGTGTTGCTTACACAATGAAGCAAGGTCTTGGGGCTGCGCCTCGGGCTCTTTGATGCCAAGTCGACAGAGAAGCTCACGCTGCTCTTCGCTCACCGAGGCAAACAAGGACCGAGCAGCCTCAGCCTGAGCAGCCTGATCCCGGACTTCAGCTGTTCCAACTGCGCCCTTGCCTTTGCCTGCACCTCCTTTGGTTTGCCTGGGTAAGCCTGGCGGGGGATGAGGGAGCTTAGGTCTCCACCCCGCCTCCTCAATCTGCTGGCGCGCGTGCTCAGGCAAGGATTCCCAGATAGTTGTCAATGCCCTCTGCGCTTGGTTCTGGCGAGGGGGTCTTGGCGGCTTGGGCTCAGGCTCCTGAGCAGCAGCGGGAAACCTCCACACTCTCACAGACGGACCCCATTGCGGATCCTGCTTCGCTCCCTGCTTTGGCCCTTGCTGTGGCCAGCGTTTGCCACACTGCTGGCAACATGGCCTGTGAGGGCCAATCCGATCCGTCCACACCCACGATCCGCAGCCACAGACGGTGTAATGCCTGGACATCTTGACTGGCATCACTTCCTTTTGTGGGCCTGCGCGCTCTGCGATGGCCTCCTTTCAAGAAGTGCCTGCAAGAAAACTCCTCAACTGTACTTTTGCAACAAGTAAACGGGCAATTTTGCAAGGCCCAAAATCCAAGAAAATTCTGCACAAGACAAGGATTGGTTCACAAGGTGCAAGAAGAGTTGCAAGCTGTTTCAAGCAGTTGTCGGTTCTATGGCTCTAAGCTACTGCACGTCAGCCAAAGCTGGAACTGCACGCTACCCCCGGCCCACGCGTCCCGAGCTGCGCAGGCAGCCTACAGCAAACGTGTGGTTACGGTTTGAGACCTGTCGGGACCCACAGTCTAGATACGGACTCCAGTCTGGGTGCCACGTCGGCAACAGTGCGGCGCTGCCACTTGAACCACAACAGCTTGAGCCAGGAGCAAACTTTTC